TTCCAAATATTAAATAAAATAGAAAATTAGAAAAATAATAATTAAAATATTAATAATTGTATAATAATTATAAAAATAATATTTCTAATAAAACTCAAATCTTGTAAAAAGGGGCTAATGAGTTAATGCTAGATGGTCGTGCAAATACTTATATATTTACCAAATAAACACAAAGAATAACCGTTTCGACATGAGATCAGGCCTTTTTCATTATCAAAATACATACGCATTTTTAGCGATGTAATATTCTCAATTCTAAATCGCGCACACTCTATATCTTATTAGTATATTAGTAATCTTAACTAATTGTCAACTCACAAACGCAACACAATCTAATAAAAGCGTCTTTTAACGATATTTCTTCAAGTGTGACTTTTATCATAATGTAGCTGAACGATTTGAAACGATTTTAATCGTAGGCTTAAGTGCAGCATCTTCACTAAATAACAAGTCAATGGAAGAAGTTTGTGATAAGTAAATGTCAAAAGTTATAACAGTAGTACCAATAATTAATTACTTCAAGCAATATTGTTAAAGGACCTGATAATTTTGTAGATAATTTATTGTTAGTCTCATGACAAACAAAATATTAAATTTTTGTAAAATAGTATATTTGTTCTGCTTTGTAGATATTACATACGTACTTTAGAATTGTCCAAGCATTATACATAGGAGAGTCATCTTGTATTAGACGACAGATATACAATCTGTATCCTTCTGGTGTTAATTTCGGCAAACATATATTCTGACTAAAATAAGTAAATATTGAGAAAAATATTATACAATTGTGTTTGTGTAAATACAAAAATAGATTTTAAATTATCAGGCCAAAGAATTTTTTTGACAATAAATATAAATATTTGTTAATATTTATTGCTATTGTTACAATATTATAACTAAAATTTTTAATCGTACTATTTTTTAGATTAAAAATATTTTCTATAGCAACATTTATAAATCTAGAAATAATTTATGATTGGTTTAAGTGCTTACAAGTATGTGTGAAGAAGATTTATATCATCGCTAAACGGATCGAAATTTTCGAAAAGTTCCGGAACCAGATTGCGAAGAGTGTAAAGCGTATCCAAATTTTTTTTGGCTTTTTCGAAATTAAACTTTACAGCATAAATAAAAAATTTTAATCGTTGATCAGAGATATCTGTAAAGCGGAAAATAATATTTGTCATTATCTTAATATATATAATATAAAGAAATGATAAAGAAATTATGAATAAAATTATGAATAAAACATTGTGCATTGTTTATTATTAAATGTAGATATTATGATTAAACTTGTATATTTTTAAGATTTTTAGATAATTATTAACAAATTAATCGATAAAATTGATTAAAAATTAGAAATACAAACCTTGAGGAAGATGACTTTGCTGTTTCAGCCATAGTCGAAATTTCGACAACAACTCTTCCAAAAGTTTTTCATCTCCACCACTATTCTTTAGAACTTCTTTTAGCGTAGGTACTTCGAGCTTCAACATTTTTGTTATCGTTTGTTTTTTCACCAAATTGTTTTGTATATATACAAACTGAAATTACACATATTTTGGGCTACATGCTTTTGTCACAAAATAAAATTATGAATAGAATTTTATTTTGAATTTTATATTATTTCGCGTGTTATACATCGTTCAAAATAAAATAGGAACTAATAATCATGAGACATTATTATTAATATTACATTAGATATAATATTACATACAAAATATTACAATAATATTAAATTTAATAGCTATATGAGCCCTAAAAATTAGCACGACGATGCGCTGGTGCGTTTATAACTCCGACACTCAAGTAAGAGTATGTACACCTTTTTGAAATTGATTGATTTATGTAACCGCCTTCCGACAACCTTGCGTCTGACGCGTACCTATATTATGTTTTTCTAACGTTCCGTTGACTTTGTATCTCTCACTAAGGATGGCCAATATAAATGGACCGAAACGTCTGTTGTAACTGATTCTTTTTAATCACAATTTACTGAGCAAATAATACCTCTCTGGCTCTGGGCTTATATAGCTATTAAATTTAATGCTATAATTTTATCATTATGAAAGCCCAATTAGACATTTCTTTTATTAATAATATTACATTAATATTATAATTTATCTCCGATTATAATCCCACTGATTTAGTTGTTTATAAAATATTAATAATTTTTTATAGTCTCATTAAGATATAAACTTAGAATTTATACGAGAATCAAAATATACTGGAAACAGATCTAACAATTAGGACATTATTCCTTTGCTTGCGTCTTTTATACGTTATTATCCCCGTTATTATACACTTGTTGTACGTCACAGAAGAACTTTCATCATCAAGTTGACGCATGGAGCTGCTCACGGAGATGGTAAATACTTTAATACATGATGGATATTTGCACCAGCACAATCT